GGAAGTAGGATTGCCCAACCTTCCTTCCGAGGAGTGGCTGGTGGGTTTGAACCGCCAGCCTTCTGGTTAACAGTCAAGTGCTTTAGCCACTATGCTACCAGAGCTCCCACTGTCTTATATACACGTGTATAAATATATAAATAAAAGCCCAAAGTAACCACAACTATGGCTCAAACTATCAAGAGTCTGGTGGTTGGTAGGAAAAGATCTCTTAAAAATGTAAAAGAAACATTCATTTTTATCCTTAATTTTTACTATTATTCTAAAATAAAAATGTTATGCACATATATACACACATATATAATACACACAAATCTGTGTCTGTATATACATTCCAAGTGTCACCTGGAAGGAAATCTTTCAACAATTTCAAACAACTCCAAGAGAGTTTGAAGATTTCAATACTCACTTAAATAGACATAAGCTTCAACGACAAATATGCATCCAATGATCCCTTGACAACAAAATGTGGAGTCCAGGTAAGTTTAACTTTTAAGTTAGCAATAAAAAAAGAATACTAATTGGAGATTCAGAGAAGGTGAGTGACCACCTACTTCTAATTAGGCATTACTCACCATATTTCTTATTCACCCCAATAACCTTTTCAAGATTACTATCTTCATAGGAAACAGTGTGTTAATTATAATCAGGATGAACATAATTACTTCTATTAATTAAGTATAGACTGTGGTCTATGTATATCTAATCATAATGGCCTGTTTAACTCTGATAAAAAAAAAAATTGAAAATTATGCTCCCTACATAAGATGTTTATCTCCATTTTATTGACAATGTAAAGGTATTCAACTGTGTGGAAAAATTATGTATAACACTACGAAGAATGAGAATTCCAGAACACTTACTTACGCTCATGTGAAACCTGTACATAGATCAAGAGGCAGGCATTTGAAGAGAACAAGAAGATGTTTCTTGTTAGTTTTAAAATCAGGAAAGGTGTGTATTCAGTTGTATTCATTCACCACACTTAATCAATCAGTGTGCTCAACAAATAATCTGAGAAGCTAGAATACTGAAGAACACAGAATCAGGATTTGAGAAAGACTCATTAACAACCTATAATATGCAGATAATACAACCTTGCTTGCTGAAAATGAAGATGACTTACACTTATTGATTAAGATCAAAGACTACAGCATTCAGCATAAATTTCACTTCAACATAAAGAAAACAAAAATCCTCAAAAGTAGACCAAGAAGCAACATCAAGGTACGTAGAAAAAAGACTGAAGTTGTCAAAGACTTCATTTTACTTGAATCCACTGTCAATACCCCTGGAAAGAGCAGTCAAGAAATGAAATGACATATTGCCTTGTTCATATCTGCTCCAAAAGACCTCTTTAATGAATTAAAAAGCAAAGATGTCACCTTGAGGACTAAGGTGCTTCTTACCCAAGCCATGGTATTTTCAATCACTGCATATGCATATGAAAGCTGGACAATGAATAAGGAAGACGAAAGAAAAACTGATATATTTGAATTGTGGTGATGGGGGTGAGGAATATTGAATATACCAGGGACTGTCAGAAGAAAAACAAATCTGTCTTAGAAGAAGTACAGCCAGAACGCTCCTTAAAGGGGAGGATGGTGTGACTTTGTTTCGTATTTTTTGCACACATTTTCAGGAGGGACCAGTCCCTGGACAGGACATCATACTAGGTAAAGTGGAGAGTCGGTGAAAAAAAGGAACACCCTCAAAGAGATGGATTGATGCAGTGTCTGCAACAATGACCTCAAACATAGCAATGACTGTGAGGATGCTGCAGAACAGGCAGTGTTTCATTCTGTTGTACACGGGGTCACTATGAGTTGGAACTTACTCAGTGGCACCTAACAACAAAAACAGATAACAATACATGCAAATTTCTTAATACAACATATCAATATTATGATAAAATGAGATAAAACAAAACTGAAAAATGTCTATCCTGTGGAAGGAAAATTTAATCTCCAAGATGTAGGTATATGTGACAGAATCTTTATTTTAAACAGATGTTGCAGGTGTACATTTTTTCCCTTCAAGTTCCTGAGATGAAGTTATTTTCTTCATTTACAAGAAAGCATTTCAGTTTGCCATTTCTGCATTCACAGGAAATGTCAGTCCATTGTGTTATTCATTACAGTAACCAAACCTTAAGGAGGATTGCCCAAAAAGTAGTCATTTTCCCCCCAGTCCTAGAAAACTATGTGAGAAGTCAGAGACAACCTGAGAACAACACAAAAAGCAAGGTCAGAAATGAGCTGCTCTCCTGTTGCCTTCTATCAAGAAAGAAAAAATCCAAACAAAATACAAAAATGTCATCAATCAAATATAAGATCACTTTTAATTTTAATAGTGAAAATTATGTAAGTACTACCATAGTTGAGGACCTCTGTAGCGTAGTGCCTAAGGCACTTGATTGCTAACCAGAAGGCTGGCAGTTCAAACACACCAGCCACTCCTTGGAAGGAAGGTTGGGCAATCTACTTCCGCAGTGATACTGCCTTGGAAACCCAAGGAGGGGTCACTGTGAGTTGGGTCTGACTCGACGGCACATAACAACAACAACAACCATAGTTGAAGACCCTTATTACTAATACAT